ACTATGATTGCATTCCCATCAATATCCCCCTTTATCTCTGTTAGTAATTGTTCTATGTACTTAGGTGCTCCTATATTGGGTGCATTGAACCTAGGACCTTGTGTCTGCTAGGCATGTGCTCTACCACTTGAGCTATATCCTCCCCTTACATATGCATTTTTAAAGAGTACAGGCTAGTTATTTTGTAGAACGTTCCTTGAGTTGAATTTGTCTGTTGGTTTTTCATGATTAAATTCAGGTTATACACTTTTGGCAGGAAGAACACAGAAGTGATGTGTCCTCAGTGTGTCATATCAGATAGCACATAATATTGATTTGTTTCATTATGATACTAACTTTAATCACTTAATTATCTCCACTGTAAAGTTTCCATTTGGGAATTGGAGAGGAAAGGAACAGACCTCTTAAGCTGGCTGTTACTATCGTGTGGAAGGCATGTCAAAGTGGGAGACAGAGAGGGAGTAGAATGTCACATAGAAGACTATCACAGTCATCCATGTAAGAGAATTGTGTCCTGGACCAGGGTGATGGCAGTGAAGATGGAATGAAACAAAAATATTCAAGAGCTGTGTGGAAAGTAAAAATCAATGAGATTAGTTTGTTAATTGAGGGAGATGTCAGCTCTGGATTTCTGAGTTTTGTAACTACATGGATGATGGTGTGATTTTCTGAGATAGGAAGTAGAGGGGGCACCAGATTTTGGCAGGTGTGTGTGAAAATGAGGACTCAGTGTGTCAGAATCCCAGAAAGAAACATAACATACTCATAAGGAATGAGCAAGGAAACTTTCCTGAAGGGACTATTTATAAGGGTTTCAGAGACCATTGTGGGATGGTTTCAACATCCCTGGATTAGCAGCATAATGGAGACTTTACCACCACAGGCTGGAATGGTTAGGAAAAAGAGCGGTTCCTGGAACCTGGTTTCTTCTTTGACCCTTTGGTTCTTTAGGAATATGTTGTTTAACTTACACATATTTGTGAGTTTTCTAAATGTTTTCCCATTATTGATTTCTAATTTCATTCCATTGTGTTCAAAGAACATAAACTTTGCATTTTTTCTATAATTTTAAATTAATGAAGATGTGTTTTATGGCCTAGCATATGTTCTATCCTGGAGAATGTTCCATGTACTTGAAAGTTCCAATATACTTGAAAAGACTATATATTCTGTTGCTGGCTAGAGTGTTCAGTATGTGTTTGCTAGGTCTAGTTGGTTTATAGTTTTCTTCAGGTCTTCTGTGTCCTTGTTGATCTGCTTAGTTGTTTGATCTGTTGTTGAAGATGAGGTATCAAAGTCTCCAATTATTGGGTTTCAAAGTCTCCAACTTTCATTATTAAATTATCTACTTCTCCCTTTGTTTCTGTCAGTTTTTGTTTCATGGATTGTAGTGCTCTGTTACTCAATGCATCTGTCTTTATAAACATTATACCTTACTGGTGGGTTGACCCTCTTATCATTGTAAAATGTCCCACTTTATCTCCAGTAGCAGATTTTGTTTGAAGTATATTTTGTCTGATGCTAGTATAGCCACCCCGGCTTGCTGTGATTACTGTTCGTGTGCTGTGAATATCTTTTTCCATCTTTTAACTTACAAACACTTTGTATGTTTGAATCTGCAGTGTGTCTCCTGCAGATAGGGACTAGCTGACCCATAATTGTTTTTTTAAATCTAGTCTGACGACTTTTACCCTTAGATTGAATTTTTAAAAACATGCACATTTAATGTTGATGTAGTTGCACTCACGTGTGTCATTTTACTTACATTTTCTATATGTCTCACGTCTTAGTTCTTCTATTCCTCTTTTAGTTTTCTCTGCATTAAGTGGGTATTTTCTAAGGTAGCATTTTAGTTTCTTTAATAATTTTTTCATTATTTGAGTTCAATTTTTGCTTGCTTTGAGGCTTCCCAAATACATCTTATTTAAATCAGCATTCAATTTATACTAGCTTAATTCTAGTGATACATAGAAACCTTACTACTTAATAGCTCTATTTGCTTTCTTCCTTTTTTTGTCTCGTTATTGTTATGCATGTTACATCTATTAATGTGACAAGCTCATCTGTAATAATTTACCCTCTGTAACAGTTTACTTTACCGTCTGTAATAATTCCCTAACTCCAATATAGCTTCGCTCTTACTTTCTTTGTGCCATTATTGGCATGAAGTGTATACACGTTATATTTCTAAGTTACAGGCCCAGCGATTCATTATATGCACGCTATTTAGTATGACTGCATTTTAAGTCAGTTAAGAGAGGAAAGGAGAAAAATATGCTGTTAAAAATAATAATTTATATGTTTATTTATTTAATTGAAGTATAGTTGATGTATAATGTCATGTGTTACAGGTGTACAGTATAGTGATTCAGTTTTTAATGGTTCTATTCCATTCATAGTTATTATAAAATATTGGCTGTATTTGCTGTGTTGTACAATATATTCTTTTCTCTTTTTTTTTGTAGGGAGGCAGTAATTAGGTTTATTTATTTATTTATTTTTAACAGAGGTACTGGGGATTGAATCCAGGACCTCGTGCATGCTAAGCATGCACTCTACCACTGAGCTGTACCCTCCCTGCCTTGTAGTTTATTTTATACATAGTAGTTTGTCCCTCTTAATTCCCTGCCTCTAAATTGCCCCTCCCCCTTACCTCTCCCCACTGGTAACCAGTAGTTTGTTCTCTATATCTGTGAGTCTGTTTCTGTTTTGTTATATTCACAGACTGTACAACACCAAGAGCAAAAGAACTTGACATAAACTATGGACTTTGGGTGACTATAATGTGTCAATGTAGGTTCATCAGTTGTATGAAATGTACCATTACGGTGGAGGATGTTGATAATGAGGGAGCTGATGCAATGTGAGGAAGGTTGTGGGGGCAGGGGTTATATGCGAAACCTCTGTACTTTCCCCTCAGTTTTGCTGTGAATCTGAAACTGCTCTAGAAAATGGGTAGGTGTTTTTGGTTTGTTTGTTTGTTTAAGTGTAGCAGGGATTGTCTCCAGGGAGGAGAGGGAAACTTGTCACTATATGTACTTTTACACATGTAGACACATAGTATGTGTAATACTTTTTCAAAAATAAAAAATTAAAATTCTTAGAAAAAAAAGGCTATTTGAACAAAAAGGAATTTAGGAAAATGATAGTTTAGACAGCAAATTTACAAAAATGAAGAGTCTTTTTATATTAGCCATAACTGAATTAGGAAATTAATGGAGGAGAACAGTTTCTATTCACAAAAGCAACAAAAATATCCAACACATTGCCTTGAACCTAAGAAAAAACATGCAAGACTTTTAAAAAGAATATAACAAAACTCCCTAAGAGACAAGAACATTACCCATTGTTCTCAGATTTTAAGAGATGATTTAAAGTTCCAGGTGTCTTTGGAACAATATAAAATGGTTTTAAGCTAAGAATCATTATGGAAAAATCGATGTTCCAGAACTGACTGGAAAAATTCATGTGCATAACACATGTAAATTTTTATCAGTGCCAAGAATATACTGTTTGTAAAGTACATGAGCATTTAGTAAGCGCTTACGTTCATCACTCTCCATGTGTTGTGGATTTTAGATCTAGATAGCTTTTTTAAAATTTTTATTTTATTTATTTATTTTTAATGGAGGGACAGGGGATTGAACCCAGGACCTTGTGCGTGCTAGGCACGCGCTCTACCACTGAGCTATACCCTCCCCAACCAGGTAGTTTTTTGTACTGAGTTAGAAGTGCAAAAGAACAGTATAAAAGATAGTAATAGTAGTAAAATCTCGTTTATAAATCAAGAAGTGGTGGACTGTGTCAGGGCCCTTTGGCATTTTTCAGAGTACTTACTTTTTAAAGGCTTTCATTACAAATGTTAATGAACACAAGGCAGTTAGATAATTTTTGTAAGTCTAGAAAAGATAGAAGAAACTCATAATTCTACCAGTTTTCAATGAAAAAATAGAAAGTAGAAAGTGAAAGGGCCCCCATTTCTCCAAAAGTAACCATTGTAAACAACTTGTTTCTTTCCAGAAATTTTTTTTGCATTTGTTCCTAAACCCACACATAGATGTACATACGGTTTTTGAAGTGAAAATGTTAATAATCTGCAACTTGCATTTTTTTGTTTAAACATTGTAACATGGATTTCTTTCTGAGGTTATCTTCTCTTTAAATTTATAATGTTATCTTCTCTTTAAAGAAAATTTTAAAACTGCATGTTATTGCATAACTTTGCTAACTACAGTTTTTAAGAATCACTGTAACTTTTAAAATTTTGCAAAAATTTTTAAGTGAGATGTAAATTGTGTACAATAAATTGCATAAATCTTAAGGTACCTTGATGAATTTAAACATACACATATACACAACATTGAAATCACCACCAAATAATTATGCAGAATATTCTGTCACCTTACAGAGTTCCCTTTGTGCCCATTCCCAGTCAGTTTCCACCATAAGCAACCACTGTTTCTGATTAATTTTGCCTATTCTAGACTTGTGTAACTACAGTTTGTACTCCCTTCACTCAGCGTAATATCTCTGAGATTCATCCAACTGTCACCTTAACGTTTAGTTTTTCACTTCTTATTCCATAGTTTGTTTTAAAACAAAATAGCATAATATTTCACTTGTTAAAAATAGTGGAATATAATTGGATATAAAGTTGAACATGAAATTATTCTGTGTCCAATTTCCCATCCAATGCTTTGAGAATCATTTACACTTATGTAAAATAGTCATACTTTAAGAACACTTACAGAAGTGAATCTTAACAGAGTTTGGCTGCCTTTGTAAAGTTATACTAAAGTTGTCTGTCTTTGTCAATATATACAGAACTGCCTTATTCTTTAGCAGATATTTGGTATTGTGTGGTCCAGTGTGAATACACTTTCAGTGTCACAAATGTGACTACAATAAACATCTCTGCACTCATATCTTCATGCTCTTGTACAAGTCTTACATGTAGACTCGAAACTATGGGACCAAAGGTGTTCTGTACATTAAAAAAACATTTTTTTAGTGATCTGAATTTTTTGTATTGAGGATTGACATATTATAAATTGCACATATTTACAGTGTTCAATTTGATATATTTTGACATTTTTATACATTCATGAAACCATCATCTCAGTCAAGATAATGAATGTATCTTATCACCCCCAAAAGTTTCCTTGTTCACTTTTGTAACCCCTGCCTCCTAACCCTCCCTGCCCCTTCAGTTTGATGGATACCATCAAATTGCTCCCCCTAGAAGACTGTACCTACTTATGTTCTAACAGCACATGAGACTGATCATTTTCCCATGGCCTCACAGGTGATAAGGTTTTCAGATTTTAAAACACTTACTGGTCTAATAGCAAAAAAGAGGAATTCAAGAATTTCACTGGTTTGCCTTTTGAGAATTGCGGATTTATATCCCAAAGTGGGAGAATTCCAGGAAAGCTTCACAGAAGAGGCAGCATTTGCTGCCCTGGGGCTTGATCAACCTGTGAAGCTACAGTCCTGAGAAAGTCAGAGCTGGGGCCCCCTAGGAAGTGGGGTCATGTCTTGTACACAGTGGGTGCTTAGTAAATGGTTATCACCTTCACTGTGCTTTAGTTTAGTTAGCTGTGCTCTCACTTAAATAGAGAAGCCCAGGACCCAGCCTGAAGTCTGGGCTGCTGGGACATCTCTCCTGCTACAGGAACAAAGCAGCTGCCTGAGCATGAAGGCCGCGGGACGTCCCCCACGAGTTCCACCTTTGGCAGAGACAACACCTCCTGAAACTCCCTCTGGATGTTCCAGGTGGAGTTTGGACAGGCTGCAGAGAGTTTCCCCCAGCAGAGCCACTGGGGCTCAGGGGATTGCCTTCCTAACAGGGAGGGCAAGATGTGGGAACATGTAGAAGCTGGAGCCACCTCAGAGTCTAAGGGGAACGGTGAGAGTTAAATTGTTACCGGGCACTTAGTAGGTATTCAGTAAATTTTTGGAAAGAGGGAGGGAAAATGTGTCTGGGTGGAAGGACCACCTGTAAAAGTAGAAAGAAAAAGCTTTGTCGGGGAGGGCATGGCCGGTAATGGTAAACAAGGACCCGTGTTACCAGCTGAATACAACGTGCCCCCTTCTCCCTTCCTGGTAACTTAGATGCTCAGTGAGTCAGGTTCACTTTTCACTGCTTCTTTCTTCTTCCCCAGCACTGCCTTCTGAGGGCTCTGCCCTTCTTCAGGAAGAGGAGGAAATGCCCAAATTACAGGTAAGTTAGAATCCACCTTCTCTCCCTGGAAATATCACCGACACACCTCCTGTTGATACTGGGGAAAGAGAGCAAAATAACGCATATATTGTGCTGGCCCTGGGCTAGACATATACTACTCCAGTTTCTCAAAAAATAGCTGTCTGAGCCCTTCTGGTAGGAGTGTAAAATGCTATAATATACTTTGGACAACAGTTTCAGAGTTTCTTGTAAAATTAAGCACACACTTATCATTGACCCAGAAATCCCAATATTATTATTTACCCAGAAGAACTGAAAATAAATGTCCACCCAAAAACCTGTATGTCTGTTCATTAGCAGCTGTGTTCATAATAGCCTCACACTAAAAACAACCCAAATGTCCATCAGGTGATAAATGGACAATAAAAAGTGTGTTAATCCGTATAATTAAGAACTACTCAGTAAAAAAAAAGGAACAAATTACTGATACTTATAATAGCATGAATAAATCCCAGAAGCATTATGCTGAGAGAGATAACCAGACACAAAAGTGCTATGTGTGTCCACTTATATGAAATGCTAGAACAGGCTAAATTTACTTATAGTGACAGCAGATCAGTGGTTGTTGAGAGGAGGGACTGGGGGCCGGGATCCGCTGGGAGCAGATAGCACAAAGGAACTTTCTGGAGTGATGGAAATGATCTAGATCATGATTGGTATGAGTTACACAGGGATATTCTTTTGTCAAAACTCATCAACTGGTACACTAGAGAGCTTGTTTGGAGGTTCTAGCAGGGGAGCGCAGCTACTCGTATACCCTTGACCAAGAAGAACGGTCCTCCTCCTCAGGGATGGTTGTTCTCTTTGACCAAGCTCGCAGCTTCGGGAAGGATGCACATGGAGCCGTGAGGGAGGAAGGGGACATCCACCCAGCCAGCCAGATCAGCCGAATCAACCCTGGCGATCAGTGGGGTGACAGATGTCACAGCCAGATTGCCCTCATATCCCATCAACCGGTACACTTAAGATTCATGTAATTCACTGTATATTTAACCTCAGTTAGAAAAAAAATTGTAAACAGAAACAACATTAAAAAAAAACAACTCAACTCGATATTGAGGACATACCTATTTTAAGAGAAGAGGAAAGAGGATCAGAGAAGGTAATTTTTTTTTTTACCCAGAATCATCTGTTTGACCTCTTCAACTTTGCAGAAAGCACCATGGAGGCTGGCTTGACATTCTCTTGCCCTCCGTGTGTTCCCATCATCCCCACGTTGTGAGTTACCAGTTCTTTGTAAGCTCTCTTATCCTCATTCTTTATTTGACAGGCTTAATATTTGTGCTGAAAATCGGCCAGAGACCAGGCTGCTGGGGTTTGACACCTATCTGTTGTCTGATCCTTGCTCCCTCCCAGATTCCCCCTCAGAGCTGTTCTGTGCCTTCCCCTCTCTTTTCATGCTTCGAGCAACCCCCTTTCCAGGAGGGAACCCCCTCTGCCCCACAGTGGTAGCCACTATTCTGACTTCTAGTATTGTAGGTTAATTTCACCTGGTTTTGAACTTCTCAAGTAGAATCAAGAGTACACACAGTAAATACTCTTTTGTGCCTGGCTTTTTTCAACATTATATTTCAATATTATGACCTATCTTGTTGCATATATTTGTAACTTGTTCATTTTCATTTCTGTGTATCAGTAGTTTCTAAAACTTTTTGGTTTCAGGACGCTTTTACACATTTAAAAACAGCTTTTGTGTTGTGGCTTATCCGTATTACTATATTAGAAGTTCAAATGAACAAAAATTTAAAATGTCTATAAATCCATTCAAAAATTAATCCATTACACGTTAATGTCAAATTTTCTGAAAAATACTTAATTTTTAAAACAAAAAAAATTTAAAGAGAAGAATGGAGAAGTTTCACATTTTTGCTGATCTCTTTAATGTCTGACTTAATAAAAGATAGCTGGAATGTCATCTGTTTCCACATTTTCTCTGTTGCAGGGTCATATGTCATATAAACATCTAAAAAGTTCCTCTGTATAGTTGTAATAGAATGAGAGTAAATAAATCCAACAATATCTTAGAATTACTGTGAAACTAATTATTTACTTTACAGACCCCCCCCTTCCCGCCCGACAGGGTCTTAGGGAACCTCAGGGGTCCCTGAACCACACTTTGAGAACTGCTACTGAATATTGGTCCTTCATGTGACGGTTCACATGTCCTTTCTACTATGGGTGCGTGAGTGGGGATTTTGGGTCCGTAATAAACGTTGTTAATACATAATCCTGTGAAGGAGGTTTCCTAGATAGCATTCCTCATTAACCAAAGAGTCCAGGTTCTTGATTTATGTCTTGCTCCTTCCTGCGCAACTGTCCACTCACTTTTCTTGCCAACTGGAATTCTCCACCTGCCTTCCCTCTTTGCACATTTTAACCATCTCACAGGGCTAGGACCTGGCTTTCTCCATGGTACCTGCCCTCATGGCCCCAGTCCACCCTGGACTCTTCCTTTTCTAGACCCTTCCCTGAGGAAATCTCAAGTTTATTCTAATTCATAGACTTGTGTGTGAACAGTACCGCTGGAACTGTGTAGCTTTTGGTGTACTTTGGTTGAAGTTTGAGTCTTCTCACCAAAGAAACTTTTAAGGACTGAAGAGTTTTTTAAAATGTGCCTCACTTATCTTTTCCATCTTCTGTGTGATATAATACAACCAGATGCATGGATGCATGCCTAAGTTAGGACCCTCAGGACACTGGAACCTGCCAGAACCCCTTGCAGATGTCAGAATTTACTGGTACTTGCCAGCTGCATTACTCTGTGGGAATGGGTATGTCTGAGGGTGACTGTGTTTGTTGTTTTAGGAGCTGGTGACATTCAAGGATGTGACTGTGGACTTTACCCAGGAAGAGTGGGAGCATCTGGACCCCTCTCAGAGGCACCTGTACAGTGAAGTGATGTTAGAGAACTATGAGAATCTCATCTCCGTGGGTGAGAACAGCATCTTCCTGAGCCCACCTGCTCTCTCAGTGGTACTGTGGTGTGGAGTAAATCCTAAGGGGATTTGTATTTGGAGGTCCACACATTCCATATCCCTTATGGTAGTAGGTATCAGATTTGAGAGTGCATAAAAATACCTGAGATGATGATTAGAAATGCCAGTTCCTGTCCAAATTAAAGGAGACTAAAGAGATAAGACAACTAAATGTGGCATGTTAGCCTAGATAAAAAATATTGAAGAAAAGAGCACTAAAGGGGACATATTTGCAACAATTGGCATCGTTTGCAAATTAACTGTGGACTAGATAGTAATACTGTGTCCATGTTAAGTTTCCTGATTTTGATGACTGTACTGCGGTTACAGAAAAGAATGTCCCTGTTCTTAGGAAATGTACACTGAAGAATTCAGTCAGAGACCCACAGGCCTGTAACTTCCTCTCAGATGGTTTAGAAAAGAATTGTGTGTGTGTGTGTGTGTGTATGGAGAGAGAGAGCGAACATAAAGTAAATGGACCAAATATTAACAACTGGTGAGTATGGATTAGGGTTCCTTGGGCCTTCTGTGTATTATTACTCTTGCCATTTTTCTCTAAAATAAAAGATTATCCAGAAAAACCTATATCCCTAGGTTCCATCACAAGGGCTACTGAGTCAGTGGATTTGGGATGGAGTCTGCATTTTTGACAAGTCTCTTCAAACCACACTTTGGGCAGTGCTCCTCCAGTGGACGCAGAATCATTACGGCCTGTTCAGCCCATGAGAGTTAGTACGGGTGTATATGACCAGCGGGCCTCTTCACCAAAGTCCCCAGAAACTCCTAGAACTTTTGCTTTTAGGAAAAATATTTCTTTGTTCATTTGTCTCTGTGTGTGTGTGTGTGTGTGTATGTAAGTAAATGTGAATCGTGATATTCATGCGTAATGGTTTTATTCATCTTTCTCAGTCTTCCGAGGACCTTCATGAATACCAAGGGATACGATTTGCCTGGAGGGAGGGTCCTTGTCCACATCACAGTGCCCTAATCCACGTCTTTCCCCTCAAGCAGGACATCTGCTGTCCAAACCAGAAATGATTTCCCATTTTGAACAAGATGATGTGTGGTTGGAGTTAAAAATACCAAGAAGCTCCTATTCAGGTGAGAACCAGTCAGCCAGGAGTAAATGGCATTGATAACCCTATGAATCCAGGAGGGCATGGGTAGCAATTTTAAAAATACATATTATTTTACTTTTTATGCTGACAATGGAAAATGTTTAACTATTTATTTGACTGGGGTTAAATATCTTTTTTAATAAAAGCATTAAATTCCCAGGCTCCTCAAATGCACTTGAAATCAGCCTTACCATCTTATTGGTTCTTCGATAAAGCTTTTGACAAATAGTCACTCCATATTTGTATGAAAGTCATGTTTTTAATTTTTTGATAATTTATGCTTTGACAGCCATAACCCACTTGTAGCTCACAGAATTTGACTTGGTGTTTTTAGTAACATGTAGTTTCCTTGATGAAGGAAAAGGTCCCCAGTATCTTCCCCTTCCCCTTTCTTTTTTTTTTCTTCACTTTTCTTTGTTTTGGAGGGTTTTTTTTTAATTTTCTTTTTTATTTGTTTGTTTTTATTCTTTCTCATTTCTTCCCTTTCCCCTTGAAGCAAAAATGAAAAACAGTGTCAGGAGGACAGAGACCAGCAGCCCAACACTCTCCAGTCAGTGAAGTTTCTTTACCTTATCAGTACTGCCTGAGTGTGGCCAGAAGCACCGTGCAGTGTCAGGCAAAACCCCTGCTCACTTGCATCATCTAATTTTCTTTGTCCCAGGAGTCAGGGATGAGAATGATGGGATTCTCTCTTGGCGAGTATCTCCAGAAGAAAAACCCTGTAGCTGTCCCCAGAGTGGCCAAGACTTCAGCCGGCCCAGAAAGCTTGTAATTCACCAGCAAATGCAGAAGGGAAAGAAGCTCTCGCCATGTGACGGGTGTGGAGGAGCCTTCAGTGAAAGGACAACAGACCTTAACCTTCCTGTGCCCCTCCCATGGGAAAAGCTCCACCACTGTGTGGAGTGGTCCAGAGTCTTCAACTCAGGATCTGCTCTGAGAAGGCACAAGAAGGACCACATGGGAAAGAAAGCTCACACGTGTGAGGAATGTGGGAAGGACTTCAGCCGCAGCTCTAACCTCTCCATCCACCGGCAGGTACACACGGGTGAGAAGCCCTACAGCTGTGGTGTGTGCGGGAGGGACTTCAGCTGCAGCTCCAACCTCTCTATCCACCAGCGCATCCACACAGGGGAGAAACCCTTCAGGTGCCGTGACTGTGGCAAAGACTTCAGCCGCAGGGCAGCCCTGCAGATCCACCAGAGGGTCCACACGGGAGAGCGACCCTACTTGTGTGCTGTTTGTGGGAGGAACTTCAGACATTGCTCGGCCCTCAAGAGGCACCAGAGGGTGCACACAGGGGAGAAGCCCTGTCTCTGTGCTGTGTGGGAAGGGCTTCAGTCAGAGAGTCCACCTGCAGACGCACCAGAAAATGCACTGTAGGGAGATGCGTCCAGGATTGCGCTCCGCGCATGCAGGTGCCTTCCAGAGCTGAGGGGAATGCCAGGGCGTGGGAGCAGAGGTGCATGGCATGGATCAGGCTTAATGGTCCATGGTGCTTTTTAGTGTGTACCCAGAAAGGAACAGAGATTACGTGTGCCAGTTGATAAATTTTCACATAGTGAACACTCCTGTGTCCAGCACTTGGCTGGAGAAATGGAACATTCCCAGCCCTCCCAGAAGACCCCTACTAGTTGCCTCTTTCCATTCACGACCCCACAGAGGGAATCACCGTCCTGACTTGTAAAACCACAGATTAGTTTTGCAAGTTCTAGAATATCATATAAGTGGAATTACATAGTATATAATCTTTCGTGTAGGAAGATTTATTCACTTAACATCTGCAAGAATCATTCATGTCGTTGCACGTATTTAGAAGTTTAATTTTATTATGTAGTAGTGTTCCACTGTATGAATGAACCACAGTTTGTCCATTCATCTGTTGATGCACATTTACATTTGGGTTATTTCCAGGTTTTGGTTGTTGTAAATAAAGTTGCTGTGAATATTTGGTACACATCTTTGTGTACCAAATATTCTTTAGTTTCTCTTGGGTATATACTTAGGAGTAGAGTTGATGAGTATACCAAAACTTTTAAAAACAGCTTATTAAAATCCAAAAATACATGATTAATTTTCACTACATATCAATATATATTATGTCATCAATAGTAATACTTTGTACATTGGATTTTTACTTATACTTGGAAATTTTCAAACAAACGTAGACATGGAACAGTATATCAAACACTCATATCCCCATCACCTAGCTTCAATAATAAATTCATGATAAATTCTGTTTTCCCTGTTCCGCCTTCCCTCACACACAATTCTGAAGGAAGTTAAAGCAAATCATAGACTAGGATATTGTGCCATCTGTAAATACTTTAGTGTAGATCTTAAAAAAAAGATATTAAAAATTTTCTTTCATAGAATCACTCTTTTGCTTTAAAATTTTTTATATTGAAGTGAAATTTAGATAACATAAAATTCACTGTTTTAAACATTTCAGAATGTACAATTTAGTAGTTTTTAGTACATTCACAACATTTTGCAACCATCACCACTGTCTAATTCCGGAGGGTTTTCATCAGGCCAAAAAGATCCTCCATTACTATTTATCACTCTTCATTCTCTCCTTCCCCCAGCCTCTGGCAACCACCAATATACTTTCTGTCTGTATAGATTTACCTATTCTGGACATTTTGTATTTATGGAATCAGACAATATACAGCCTTTTATATCTGGCTTCTTTGACTTAGCATAATGTTTTCAAGGTTCATCTTTGTTCACATATCAGTACTTCATTGCTTTTTTATGGCTGAACAGCATTTCATTGTATGGATATACAGCATTTCAGAATCAATTCTTTAGCTGATGGACATTTGGGTTTTACTTTGTGGCTTTTTTGAATAATACTACTATGAACATTCACGTACAAGTTTTTCATTGAGCATATGCTTTTTAATTCTCTCGGGTATTTATGGATAGGAGTTGGGAGAGTGGGTCATATGGTAATTCTGTTTAACTGCTTGAGGAACTGCCAGTTGTTTTCCATAGTAGTTGTACCATTTTGCTTTTGCCACCAGCAGTGTATGAGAGTTCCAGTTTCTCTACATCCTCACCAACACTTGTCATTTCCCATTTGTCTGCTTTGCTTTTAATCATAGCCGTGCTAGTGACTGTGAAGTGGTGTCTTATTGTGGTTTTGATTTATTACATTTTCCTAATTACTGATGATTTGAATTTCTTTTTATGCATTTATTGGCCATTTGTATATTTTCTTCAGAGAAATGTCTATTTAAGTCACCTGGGACTGTCCTGACATTTCTTCTCCTTTTCTTGAAGGATAGTTTTACAGGATATAGAATCTTGGTTATGATCTTATAATCCTTTTTATTTCTGTAAGGTCAGTAGTAATGTCCCCACTTTCATTCATAATATTAGTAACTTGAGTCTTCTTTTTTCCTTAGTCTATTTAAAGGTTTATCAATTTTGTTGATCTTTTCAAGGAACTAACATTTGGTTCTGTTGATTCTCTATTATTTTTCTTTTCTCTATTTTGTTTGTATCCTTTCTAATATTTATCATTGCCTTCCTTCTGCTTACTTTATGTTTATTTGGTATTTTTTCTAGTTCCTTAAGGTGGAAGTTTAGGTTATTGATTTGAGATCTTTTTAGGGTAGCATTTTACAGCTATAGATTTCCCTCTGAGTACTGCATTAGCTACAGCCCATACCTTTTGTTGTGTTTTGTTGTTGTTGTTGTTAATTGAAGTATAGTCAGTTTACAATGTTGTGTTAATTTCTGGTATACAGTATAGTGATTCATTTATACATATATATAAATATATATACTCCTTTTCATGTTCTTTTTCATTATAGGCCATTACAAGGTATTATAGTTCCCTGTGCTATACAGTAGGACCTTGTTGTTTATCTATTCTGTGTATAGTAGTATCTGCTGTTGTGTTTTCATTTTCATTCATCTCAAAGTATTTTCTAAATTCTATCATGATTTTTTTCTTTGATCCCCTGGTAGTTTGAGAGAGTGGATTTAATTGCCATTTAGATATGAATTTTCAAATTTCCTTCTGCTATTAATTTTTAATTTCATTCCATTTTGGTCAAAGAAAATACTTCGTATGGTTTCAGAGTTTATATATTTATTGAGACTAGTTTTGTGGCCTAATATATGGTCCACCCTGATGAATATTCCATATATACTTGACAAGAGGGTTTATTCTAATATTGTTGGGTGGAGTGTTTTATATATGTCTGTTTGGTCTAGTTGTAGTTGTTTTTTGATTCATATAGAATCAAGATGAGTTATAGACCAAAATTATACTAATACTGTTGTTTATATTTACCTGTGTAGTCACCTTTATTGGTATTCTTTATCTCTTCATGTGGATTTGAGTTGTCTAGTGCCATTTTCATTTCAGCCTGAAGGGCTTTCTTTAGCACTTTCTAAAGGGCATGTCAATACTGATGAATTTTCTCAATTTTAATTCATCTGGGACTATCATGACAATTTCTCTTCCTTTTTTTGATTTTTTTTTTTATATTTTACCAAATATAGAAATCTTGGTTGACAGTTTTGGTTTTTCTTTTTCAGCACTTTGAATTGTCATCCCACTCTTTCTGGCCTTCATGGTTTCTAATGAGAAATCAGCTGTTAATCTTGTTAATATTCTTTGTACATTTTGCCACTTTAAATATTTGATCTTTGGCTTTTGGCAGTATGATTATAATGTTTCTGTGTGTGACTCTCTTTCAGTTTATCCTACTTGGGAGTTTCTTGAGATTCCTAGATGTGTAGATCATTATTTTCAAATATTCTTTCTTCCCCTCCCCTTATCCAGTTTGGAATTATCATTTTGAGGATGTTTGAATGCTTGAAAGTGCCCCACAGACCTCAGGCTCTATTCATTTTTCTTTTTTTGTCTTTTTGCTCCTCAGACTAGATAATTTCATTTGACTTATCTTCAAGTTTGCCAGTTGTTTTTTTCTGCCTGTTCAACTCTACTGTTGACTCTTCTAGTGAATTTTTCATTTCAATTATTTTATTTTTCTGCTCTAAATTCTCAGTTTGGCTCCTTTATATAAATTTTTTTTCTTTATTGATATTTTCTTTTTGGTGAGACATTGTTCTCATGGTTTCCTTTAGCTCTTTGAACATATATATAAGTAATTCATTTCAGGTCTTTGTGTGTTAGATCTAATGTCTGAGCTTCCTCAGGGACAGTTTCTGTTTCTTTTCCCTGTGTATGAACTATACTATTTTTTGCATGCTTTGTAATTTTTTGTTGAAAACCAGATATCTTGAATATAATAATGTGGCAAGTCTGAAAATCACGTTTGCCCCTTTCCCCAGGTTTATTTTTGGTTCTTGTTACAGTTGATATGACTAGTTTGTTTAGTTTGTTATAGAATCAAGTATATTGTTTTTCATTTTCAAATATCTGTTCCATTGTCTTGTGTTGAGCTAGCGATTTGACCAAGATTTTTTTTGCCTGGAACCAAAAATAATCCCCCAGTCTTTGCTGATGTACTTTATCTCTGTTTGGCAACCTTCAGCACTTAGTTAGGCAAGTTGCAACTGTGTCTTGGCCTTCACTTCCTCCTTGTACAGAGCCTGAAGATCAGCCAGAAGTGAAAGTTTAGGACTTTATTTATTAAAAACTCATAAAGGTATCAATAAAAGGCTATTTATTGAAATACTAGTTTTGGTGATAAAAAAGTACTTTGACATCTTAAATTATATATAATTTATATGATACATATATATGTGGGATATATATAGGGATATGTGTGTGTGCATGTGTATATATATATATAATCATATTATCCTGTCATTATATCCTATCATATAATGGAGGATACTTTAACTCTTACAAGAAATGAGTTTGCTCTTTATCTACTGTCCTGATGTGATTCATGGTAAATTGTTATATGAAAAAGTAAAATGGTTTATAATAAAATAATGAAAACAAGAAACCTGATATATACTTTTGTATGTTTGCAAATACTGACATGAATCCTGGAGAACATTGTGGAAAGATGTTCATTATCTTGTTAACATTGGAACTGGGTCAGTGGGTGGGATTGGAGGGGGAATACTGATTTCTCTGTATAGAATTAAATAGATGGAGGAAGAGAACTGATTTTAAAATGCCTGAAGGGATTGGAAAAAAGAAGGAAAAACAAAAAGAATCCAAAATATATCATAGTGACAATGCTTGTGGACTTAGAAGCCAGACCTTGTGGGTACAAAACCTTGCTTTCCACTTGCTTTGTTATGTTGATAAAGCCTTCTAGTGCCTATTCTGGTTTTAATTTCCACATGAAAAATATGAATTATTGTACTTACATCTTTTTTCA